CTGGAAAGACGAGTGAGGATGAGATGATGGTGCTGAGGATTGGTTCAATTGATCAATCCGATCAAGCGCTGTGGTTGGTCTGACTCACAATTCCAGATAAGCATACAACTCATGTGATTATGCTTATAAAATGACCTGTATTGCTCTGAAAATAAAATAAAATAAAACCAGATGGACAAGCATTTTTGGATTGACTGTATTTCATTTTATTTCATCTTATTTTTATATGTTACATGTTGATTTTTGAGTGTAATGGTTATGTGTAGGGGGTGTAGTGTAAAATGAAGCCAAAAGTCGAAATTATGGGTTTAGAACTTATGTGGAGTTGAGTGATATATGGGTTATGGGGAGTATACAGGTTTCAAGTTGGAATTTCGAAAATTATGGGTTTTGTTAGTTATGTTTAAATATATGTATGGGTTTAATGAGTTCTGTAGAGGAATCATGGTTTTGAGGTATGGGTTTAAATAAGGTCAAATTTCAAAAATCCAACAACTCAGACAGATGGTGGTAAACTGGGGTGGTAAACTGAAAAAGCAAGCAGGGATCACTTTGAAAGATGGATTCATGGGATTATCAGACAACAGCATTGGCAAATTAAACATTACATATGAACAGGGTGGATTTGAAACTCGAAAATCACTTTCAAAATCATAAAAAGTGCTATTTTCAATCATACAACTTTGATTTTGGGGTACCACAGCATCTTTTCAGCCTAGAAGTAAGTGGGGAGGGTTATATTTTTGCATATGAACATGAAAAATCAAGTTATAAACCATATACAACATCATTAGTGGTAATACCAGGTGGTAAACTGGGTAAATCCAATTTTGAGTATTTTCACATAAAATCAAATTTCATTTTAAGGGTACAACCAATAGAGTTAGAGTTTAGCTCGGCTGAGCAAAGTTGTAGAGCGAAAGCATACCTTTTCTTCTGTCGGTCCAGAATTTTGATACAGTCCCTATTTCTTATCTTTTTTCAGGTTTCAAGGGTAAATTGGCGGATTTTTCAGTTTTTGTGGTAAACAGGTCAGTTTTAATGATAAATGTGTGCTTGAAAATTTGTGAATGATACATGTGGGTGCGTTGAAGATGTTTATCAATTTTAATTTGGGGGTTCATTGAGAGTTATGCTGTGGAAAAACTGTATGAGGGTGAATTTTGAGTTTGAGGGGTGTTTTTGTCCTACTTTCTTTTTTTTTGTGTGTGTTTCAATTTTGATATGGTCAAGTGTCTCATTTCCTCCCTTTGGGAGCCTTTTAGTTAGCAAAAATTGTTATTAGAATTTAGAATAAAGCTTTTGTATCTTTTTATTGCTATTATCTGGGTAAACAACTAATGAGAGTTGGGATTTTATAATATTAGACCCTTTATTCACTTTTAATAATTTCTTGTTGAGTTGTAAGCTCATTTGCTCATTTGGAAGGTGCCTGAGTGCGCCTAGATAGTGCTACTTTTGATTTTATTGTCCTCTTTTAGCCTGGTTTTTATTAATCCAAAGACTTGAAGGTCTTAAATTTAATTCATCAGTAATCAAAGTCCCTGTTTAAGAAGGGCATTTCTTTCTTTCTTTGAAGTCTTTCAATTCACCATCTCAAGACTTATTTCTCTTTTTATTGTGTGTGTTTGTTGATTTGTGTCTTCATTCCTCCCCTTCTTGGCTCTGCTTTCAGCTGTGTACTGAAAGAGTTCTACACCGGTCCGTCATCCCTATGTTTGTGATCATCCAACTCCCCTACAGTCTTAGATGTGAATTGATGGAAGCGCAACCCATGACCTCTTTTTTCTTGACAGCAGTTGACTGTCAAACCCAAACACAAACTGATGTGTAGGCAACAGGGATAGGAGAATCCTAATTAGGCTCAGGCCTGTCACCCAAGGGGATACTTAGGCCTCTCCAATCCCTTATAGTGTGCACCTCTGGAAACACTCTACTTAGACTCTACCAGTGCTACTCTTCTAGGGTAAGAGTTCTGAACAAGCTCAAATAGAAGACAAGATACAACTCATGGAGAGTTCATGATAGTGAACAAATTGAACTCTCCGTGCGATGTATCTACCTAACATGTAACCAGTTTTTCCAGGTTTTGGGTGAAGAATACACTTCCCCCAAAACCTACTGCCCACATCTTTTCCTTCCCTCACTTAGTAGTAGAAACTAAGCAAGGGAAGGAAGTCTGATGAAATAAAATAAGAATTACTATTGAGAATGGAAAAGATTGTGAACATGTAAATATGGCTAGAAGGGAAAAGAAAACTCATTTTGTATAATGAGAAGTTTGCCTTACAAGATGTAAATTTGGTAAAGTATGTATAACATGCCATGTTATAGTATTTATGGTGTGAAGTACTTTTTCTGTACTGAAATATCACATACAATGAGAAAAGAAGGATAAAGAAAGCTAATAATATTATATGCAAGCAATAACTTTGTAAACCCATGCAAGAAGATGCCTTTTTCTGTAGTGTATGGTGGAAGACCAAGTCAATTCACAAGGTGCTATTGCACCTAGTTTCTTGGATACAAAAGGAATGGGCAAAAGGAAGAACAGTAGGTGCTATGCTGACCTAAAGTAAGCCTTCTCATTGGTACACCACCCCAGTTTGTTATCAATTCTTGAGAAGAAATGATCCAAATCAAGAACAATCAATATTGTACATCAATTCCTCAAAAACCAGCTCACAATGATGAATTTCAATAGTTTCAAATCAGACTCATTCACACTCAAACATGTTCTCCCTCAAGGATTTTGTTATCACCCCTTTCATACCCACTGTACAACGATGCATTAATTATTGGAAAAAACTGACAGAATTGAGACTGTACCAGCCTTAGGATTTGTCAATGATGTAGTGTTACTCACAATGGCAATGGACAATCATCAGCTCAAATCGCAAATGCACACACAAGCTTATTGTCAAAATTTCTGGTGTCAGCCCCAAGCCCTATTACTGGTACCAAAGGGCTGTCTAAATAACTATAAAAGAATACAAATAATGATTTCAACTCATGGCTCAGTTTCAAGAGCCAAGTACATATGTAATTACATACATGTAAATGTAACCATGAGGTTGCACTAAGTAAGGATGCCTTTCACAAGTGCACACCACATGAGTAACACAAGAGCTACACATACGCGTAATTGAATGATAAATAAATAATTAAAAATAATGATTACATACATCAAATGAGTATGTAATCAAACCACAAGTTGTACATAAAGGATTTTCAGGGTTTTGAGTATATAAAGAGCTCCCTGACCCGCCAGGAAAACCCATCATCAAGATTACAATTAAGCAAATTATCAAAAAACTTAATCAATCAGATAAATACAGTTCTTGTCCTCATTGTTAGACAGTAAACATTTCTCTCGATGATCTTTACTTTGGTTATTTGTTGAAGTTCTTTCAAAGACTTCTATCAGGAGGCAATCCTTGAAGTACTGCTCAAGTTATCAAGGGTATTCAATAACTTGAGAAAGTCTAAATTCACGGGAGTTCCTCTGTGTTCAGAGTTTGAAGAACTTCAAATATCACCAGGTGATATTTACCTTGATTAACAAGCTCTAGAGTAGAGTGTTGTTAGATTGGGCACAAAACTAGACTGTAGTTTCTGCTCTACATCCTGCTAGAAGACTACACTCAACTCTTGACGTAAGCATGCTTGACATAGGCATATCTTGCTATATACATAGGTTTTTACGGGATTTCTTTTTGGTATACATGGGCCCAAAAGGCATATTATACTTTTGCAATATGCATTGCGCAATATAAGCAAGGAGAATCTGTCAACCATTGATATGCTTACATCGCGAGCCGACTGTATTTGTCTTGCATTAATTCCCGGATTAGTATCCAAACCCTTTGTTAAAAGGTCATCTAACTGAAGTCAGTGCTGATTTGATCACACTACTTCTTAACAAACCTTGTTTTTGAAACTCGAAACGAGGTTTTCACGCCCTTAATAAACTTAGTTTATTAGAGACAAGGCACAGATTCAAGCGTTTCTTTATTACTATTTTCTCGATATGGTACTTGTTTTTCCAGATTTATGATGTTTCCACTTCCCAAGTGGTCATCTATCTACTTGAAGATGTTGTGCACAGTCCGATTGACTTGAACATTTGTTTTGTTTCAACAAGCCTCCTATAGGTTCAGTGAGCCTTGACGTCATTTACACAGCCGATGATGCGGCCCAACACAGCTCTGCGGTTTATTATGCATCCAGTTATTTTATTAGTGAAGGATTAAGGAGACACTTTTCTTTTCTTTTTTTGCTATCGCTATTTCTGATCTTTTGTGATCAGAAACCTGCGGGTGCTTTCAAAAACCAGTCTATCTTGCATTTTGAGACTGGTTCCAAGTGCACATCTGCCCTTCAAACCAGGCTTTCACCGAGCCTTTCAACCACATCACACGGATGATAGGTATGGCCAAAGCCCTACCACCATTGTGAAAGTTAAATAAACAGCTTGTGAAATGAGTGGGGAGGGAATAGGACGCATGGGTATATATACGTGTGTTATATCTGAAGGAGTGATTCCTACTCCCATAATCCCTCAGTCCAAAAATATCGCTAAGAAGCTTGTTGTGGTGAGTTTTCACGCACTTGGTTCGGTGATCTCTTCATCTCCTTGGGTGACTGATTTATTTCCGTAGTCCCTATTGTTTAATTTGTTTGCAAGTAGTATCTAAAGTGAGACCTATCACTACCTCCTCGCTACATGTTGGACATGATTTCTGCTGACGGATCTTTGGGTTTTCTGCTTTCAGTCATAATTATAAATATGTCTTTACCTCATGGTCAACCCAACTGGTCTCCACTAACGGGCCTGAACGTGGCTAACCCATTGCCTGGGTCACATAGGGTGAGCATGGTCGTGTTGCTTCCTTCACCCTGACCAAGTGAATAGCCACTGATTCACCTTGAGTCAGTCTGGTCATCCTGGTCCAAGACTCAATCCAATCCGGTCTACGTGGGCAGCGGTGGAAAAACCCATGTGCCCAGTGGCTGCTAGCGCAGGCCGCGGTGGTCTGGGTGAAACGGTCACCTTTGGCTCTCTTGAAGTGCCACATAAAGACTTCACCACGTTGGTTCAGGTCAGTTTGGATTGGCCTATATGTTGTATCTTTCCCTCTGCGACTGATTCTGATCAGATGCTTGTATCTTTGATTTCCATCCTGGAAGGTGGACCAGAACTGAGGGGCTCTCAAGGTTCCTACGTCACCCCCCGTCTTAGGCCACCCTGCCAAACACCGTGTTGCCCAGGGTGGCTGTCCACCAGGTCAACCGCGCTTGCTCAATGCTTATGTGCCTCTGGTGATTCCAATACGGCGCCCACCTACACCCCACAGAATGCTGGTGGTAAGCTCTCATGTGTTGATCACTCACATGAATTGTTCGCCTGACTAATCCTGCCGGCCATTAGGCCAAACCACTTTCTCCTTGAATGGTTGGAGGTATGAACGTGGCTCCCCACACAGACGGCCATTTTCCTTTGGGTCACACAGAGGTGCAATCGACTGCCAGTGTCAATTTTCCAGCTGGTGCAGTATGGGCACCAGCGGGACGCACACGAGTAAAGTGGCCCTTTTTGGTCTTTGTAATTGATCTCTTGAGAACTCACCATTTGATGCACTTTGCTTTATGATCTCACTTCAAGCCCTTGTGGTGGTCCGTCCCCTTCATATCATCATGACATTTCACATCCGCCTTGGAATTCTTTGGTAGATTACAAAAGTATGGTGGACTGGTGATCTCCAAGGGTGATCACCGATATACAAAGTGCGGTGTCCTTCAACAATGCTTGTAATTAAGCTCGGGTACTCAACAGTCTGGACCATACCTCAGACCCCCTTCCCTGGGCTCGGGATGGCACAAATCCGGTACGCGAGGCGGCAGCGTCCGCGCGGTACGATGTAGATGTTTTGTGATCTTCCCATCCGGATTCTTCTTCCGGGGAGGACAAGTGTTTATGTCGCCTTTTGGCGGATTCCGACAACAAACCAGGTTCACCTGGTCCTTCAGGTGATGCTCAAGTGCTAACAAGTCATATCCTGACTTGTTCACCCAGTCACAAGCTGACTGAAGGCGTTCCGGAAGCTCTTTGTCTCCTAGCAGCTTGCTTAGGTGCTCATACCGCCTCTTCATCTTCTAACCCTGGTTCCAATCCGGGTCCGCAATTGCCTTCCAACCGGGATGCAGCAATCACCCCCAAAGGCAATGTGTCACCAGCTAAGCGACGTAGGGATACTTTTGAACTCCCCCTGACTCAAAAGCAAATGTGCCTCAGTCAAGAAAGCCAATTGGAGGAAGTTGATGAACTTGAAGAGATTTCTGGTAAGTACATGTGCCATTCCAATTGCGATGTTTGATTGACTCACATCGAATCTCTTCAAGTGGGATCGAGTGAAACACGACCCCAGGCAAACCCAGGTGGTAAGGCCAAAAACCCTTCAACTTGCCCCGCGGTGAAGAAAGCAGGGGTGAAATTGTGAGCTCAAAGTCTGGGCTCCTTGGTAATTCTTGTTTCCTATGTATCCGCGTGCTTGTTTCCTTCTCTATCATAGACTCATAATATATGATGCACCCTGAGACTGCGGCCAAAATCGAGCTCGACAAACCCACCGGGGAGTCATCTGCTTAACCCACCAACCAAGGGAGACGAGTTCAATCGCTGGAACCCACTACCTCCCACTTGCTGAATTCGACAGGGGATGATCAATCATCTGAGGCGGAATCGTCTGGTCCCACTCGTTGGCGCTGGGACTCACCCGGCAAGACCGATGTCAATTGGCTGAGGCACTTGGCCCAGTTCCAACCTTTTGCAGTCAACCAAGACAGCAAAAGATTGGAGAAATTTCATCAATGCACCCTGCATTTAAAGGCAAGGCCAAGTGTTCAGTCACTCATTTTGCCTGGTGGCCTTTCTAAGGTAACCTCACTGTGTCTTTATGTAGAATCACCCGGAGACTAAGGAAACATTTGCAACTCTTTCTGCAAATCAAAGCACTTACACGTTGAAGAAGTGTTACGACTTCCTCAGGGATTGGCTTCCTCGGGCCGAGGTGGCCTCCGCAAAGGGGGGTGGGACCCAGGAAGTGGATGGAGAACTTTGCAAACTGATCCAAAAGTGTGTCAATGATGAGACTGTAAGTATCTTTGTTTGAACTCGTTCACTTTGTTCACTTCGAAGATTGCTAAACCCCATGTTCCTTTACTCTCTTCATGTCATCATTAGGAAATGACCTGTGCCGCTTTGTTGGCAAAAGAGGCCAAAGAGCAAGCTGCCAACAGTCTCGCTCGCGCCAACGAGCTTTGAGACCTTCGCGCCAACAGACACCAATCGGCGCCCCCAAGGCCGGCTGCGCACCACAATGACAACAATGTTTTGGAGGGCAAAGGAGGAGGTCATTGCCACGTGACGGCTTGAATAAAAAACTTCAAGCCGAAGAAGGGGTGGGTCAAATGGTCAACGTCACCCTCAAAAGTAGTGAAGCAGCCAAACAGGCCAATGAGCTCACTTCTGTAGCTCTGGAGCGGTACGAGCAGGAGAACATAGTCTCCAATCTCCAGTGTGAACGTGAGCTCACCCAGTCTCAGGCTCAACTTGACCTGGATGCAAACACTGCCCGCAAAACACTCGCCTTGCGACGTGAGGAGCTGAAGGCTGCCCTCAATTGCAAAGATAAGAAGGATGGACAAATAGACAGCCTGCAGTCTTCAATGACCAGTGTGCAGGGTACTTTAGCCGACATGGGCTCTATGCTCAAGATGCTTGTTGCCAAACGTCTACCTGCTGCCCCTGCTGCCCCCTGATGTTTCAAAAGACCGTTAAGTCATCTTCTTTCAAACTCACCCCCACCGGTTCTGACCCCCTGGTATCACCACTTTTGCAGGATCATATGGTTTGGTGTTCGGAAGTGTGACTACTCAATATGCTGCTCTAGCTCCTTCCTGATTCAGAGACCACCTACGTATATGTTCTTCGAGTCCAGTCATTGTGTATCCCCAAATTGTAAACCACTATCCACTATCAGTTATTGATCAAAGAAATAAATCATATCTTATTGAATTTCAATGAGTCCAACTCTTTGGCTGCTATGGTGAGTATTCCACTCTGCAAAGGAGTCTATCATGATGAATCGAGAATCATGATAGTTGAGGTAGGCAGACCAATGGATCTTCGTTGAGCAAGGAGGGATCCTCTCCTTCCAATTCATGGAAGCACGGATCCATCCAAATCATATCAAGAAGACAAGGTCTTGATATGATTCTGTGATAAGATGATGACCCATTATGACCCACTGGTAAACGTATGGGTCATCATCTTAGGGGACCTTGCTCAATGTCTATTTTGCTCATAAATGATCAAAGCAATCACACTTTCATTGCAATAGAACAAGAACCTGCATCTTTACTTATGTCTTACACATTAAGATGAGACAGAGAAGAGTGTTAAATAACAATTCAATACAACCAAGATACAAGAAATGACAACCCTTTAAGCCCGATTTCATCTGAATCAACCTAGACCATTTGTCTGCTTTCTAAGTAAGCTTCCGACGTAGGTGGAGGCACTACTCTGCCTAGTGGCCCTTGACCACAACAAACTAATAAGTTCTTGAGTATCACCGCACAGTTATAAAAACGGTTGAGTTCACAAACTAATAAGTTCTTGAGTATCACCGCACAGTGATAAAAACGGTTGAGTTCTCTGACATAAAATTGCAAGTTGTCTGCAGAGGAAGATCACTGTGGTCAGTTTTACCAAATCCTCACTGTTACCAACCACTTGAGTTACCTTTGTACTGAGTCATGCGGAAAATATTCCTCAAGCGCCCAAACTCGTGTTCGACCGCAACCCTTACACTGGACATGAGCCAATTGAAATGTGCTTCGTTTTCTCCGAGATGCAGCCCAGGATACGGTGTCAGCATGACTGCCGAGTTGCTATAATCTTGGTCACCATACAACATCATCTGTCGACCCCCGAAACCCTTTGCATCTTGTTCTAACACCTTGCTGAGCCCGGATAGTCTCAAAATGGCGGTGTCGTGGCATGACCCGATGTACTGGTCTATTTGGAAAAGATACAACACATTAGTCGGGGCCGGCGCAGTAACACTGCGAAGATAATGTATTTCTCCGAGGTGAAAAATGATTACATTTAATGTACAAAATGATTAAAAGTGCATTAAGTCTGCATTGATTCTGCATTATTAATCATTTTGTGCATTATATGTAACTAGTACGATTGGGCGGCGGGCGCCGCACTGTGTGATTTCATACTTGACAATCAACTTTGTGATAAGTTCTCAATGCACATGGGTGCTATTTTACTTGTACATATTCTCAACTAATTGCTAGCATAATAGCCTAAAGACAAATGAGAACTGGTGTACTTATCATACCTTGTCTTTTAAATCAATCTTATCACAATTTTGTGATGTTCATGCTTAAAACCACCCCGCCATTGTTCTAATAGTTGACATATGGCCTGGTGTGGATCTTTTCTGCCCGTCCCCTGTTCATATCCCATTATCTCGTGTTCCGGGTACCAGACTTTAACACCTCAATCCCGAACATATATAAGTTTCGCTATTTATTACTCTAGCTGGTTATACTAATGTCGAGCTCAATTGAATGATTCAACCATCAGATTGTAATACACGAACAAAAGTTAGGCAATTTATTACGACAACATATATATTTCTAATTAATATACGATGACTTTATTTGTACTCGACATTTGCCTAAAACATTGAAGACTACTGATACTTAATATGTTAGCGGAAATAATACTAATTCTTAAATTAGGTACCAATTCAGACAATTAAATAGAATGAGACAAATCATAGCATGACGGAGATTACATCTTTCATTTACTTGGTTGTCAGACAGCTGACCAAACCTGGCGGAGCCTAACGACAAGTCATTGAATTTTAACATCTAATTAGCAGCATCCCAATCAAACTCAGTATAAATACACTTACTACTGGATTGATATTCAAGCTCCTGAGCCAAACTTATGCTCTATAGTCGTTATCTCCTCAAATTCCTGGTCAAGTTGATCAACGAAGTTCTAAAACGGGCCCGTGGATGTCAACAATCAATTTGCGATTAAGTGAGATGATGAGATGATGCCTGTACTTACTAATACATCAATATGAGTCATTCGTGTCCTGAAATGGCAAGTAATTCCATGAGCTTTGAAGAGTTCAACCAAAATTGTGTCGTTCTTGATCTTGATATCATGAGTAATGAAGATGAAGTGCTTCAACTTAGGAGCCTTCTTGAATTTTTCTAAATGTTTCAAAGCTTCTTCCCAATACCCTTTTGCCTCGGAATAGTTGCTGATGAAAACTTCTACTGTTTTGAAGATGCTCCACTGAAACCAAATCGGTCGCCAAGGTTTAGCTGCAATATGTATACTACGGATGACTCTAAGTTTTGGTAACACTACATCGCCAAGCTGCATTGGGATATGATCTGGAATTTTTTCAAAAAAGAGACTGGTAACTGTGCGTCTCAAAGGATAAACCATAGCAGTCATATTGCGTGGTTCCCAACCGGGCAGGCATTCTAAGAATCAGACGCTTCGATCTTTGCTGGAAACAAAGTCGTAATAAGTCATAAGGTTATTTGAATGTAATGAAATCCAAAGATGTATGAGATTTGGCAAGGCTCCAGCTCTTAGATTCAACTTTTCAATAGTCGCGAGTCTTAAGGATAACGATTCCAATGAGACGGCGTTATTCAAAACAGCAATGATAGAGCCGGTATCGTTTGGGATTTCGCCTACTTTGGTACCTTCAATTATTAAAGTCTTCAGGTTTTCGATCTTTTCGATTGCTGTTATCATACCACCTGAAAAACCAACTGAGTGGGTGAACTTGAGCTTTAACGTATGTAAATTGCTACCGCATAGGTTGATAATCCCCGCTGCATCCGGCATAAGAACAGAGTTTGGTTCGCGATATCGGTACTCGAGCTCGAGTTGATCTCGACGTTTGTTTGATAAATCTTTGTAGTTGCCTTGACAGTGTAGAGTTGGAATGTATAGTACTTGGTCTAGATAAAGATGACGTAAATTACGAAAATCTGTAAGATCAAAACTCTCTTTCCACATTCTGTTTAAGTAACGATTAATCCAAGGTGTTCTTAAATAAAGAATTAAGTATGTCCTTAATATAACTATGATGTAACAAAGATTTATCACTGCTGTTAAGAGGATCACTTTGCTTTTTTGGGAGCTCGTCGTAAATATTAGCTATAATTTGTTGTATTATTTCTACCGGAAGTTCAGTTGTTGGAGCCATTCTTCTGCCTTATTGGCTATTACGATAATAATAGCGGAGATGGTAAGTTGAGTCCAAGGATGGCAGGACATCAAGTTATCATCTTTTATCAGGCTTTCCGCCCCAGCGATTTACCCGCAATTGTCCGGTTCATTGAGTGTGCGAACAGCCATCCTATCGCTTGAAATCATAGTTAAGTTAATGAACAAACATCTTTCCGAGCAGTGCTTCCATCGATCCGACTACTACCTCCCAGCTAAACTCACCGTTGTAGCCCCTTTTTATCAACACTACTGTCAATTGTTCGGTTTGCACATTGACATGTGTTATCAAAGTTCGACATGATTGCAAGGTGAGTAGCAATGTTTCTCAATTGTAAATTGAATGCGGGTTTTCATGATTCAGAGTATATAGTTGTGAAGTTTGACTTTACCTCCGGCATCTTTATTGTTACGTGAGCATTGCATTAGTCCCATACAATTTCACTTAACGTGGATCTCATGGTGAATTAACATTTACTATATAAGCGCTATGTACTGTCATATATTATATACCGCTTGCGCTTGTGTTATTTATTTTGCAGACATATTCTCCATGATACCCAATGATTCGGTGAACGTCAAGATAGCAATGTATGCTCTGGATTTGATGGTCCACTACTCCCATTACATCGTAATTGTATCTATTGTGTAGCTCAAAAGGTTATTTACCATTCAGTATGTAATACAACAGCACTCGATCCGGAAACATTTCAGACATGGCTGCATTGATAGTAATTTACTACAAATGATTCTAATTCAACATACCTACCTGTTCCAAATTGTAGTTACGTGGTATGACTATATATCAAGTCTATTCATTACTTAAAAGTTCAGCATGTACAATCAACTGTTGGATTTTTCGGTCTCGACATCAATGCTCGGTCTACAATACTTTAGCCTTGCATGAATTGCTCTGACGGTTGTTTTATTCGAAAGCGCAGTAGTCAGAATACTGATTTAATATTCTACCACACAAAAAAACTCAACTCAATAATACCGTCAGGTTTTTTTATCCTGTCATTTTGATACTATACTTATACAGGCTCAAGTGTGACTTCACATTTAAATGTTTATACGTAAGAATTTATGTTTAGCATTCTTCTGCATTATATTATTATAATTCATAGTAGCGCTGTTCTCACATGCCGACAGATAACCACCTATAAAGCTTTGATGACTGCAGCCAAATTTTCAGTTTTATTAATGCTGTGGATGCTACAGACTCTGCTAAATACTTGATATTAGGGGTTCATTATTTATTTTTCGTTGGCGAGAACCAAACTTATATAATATCGTAAATGACTTCTGATGATAAAAAGTTGGGTCTTATGCATTAGATAAGATCATCAATCACCTATGAGCCCTATATCATAAAATGGAATAGTCAGTCATCAATCACGAATCCAGTTGGAAATTTTGATAGAAGATAGATATACTTCAGCAAATGAGTAGATTTACTTAAGGTCTTGCGATTTTAATCCTGTAATACCGGGTGATACACAATGTTTGTTGTTGATATATTATCGGAATCTGAAGCAATACATACATTGACATTCGCTGCAGTTGTGCATCTTGACAGTGCCACGTACAATTGGCCATGAGAGAAAACTGGTCGTGGTAAGAGGACAGTCACTTGTTCTAAACTTTGTCCTTGACTTTTATTTATTGTCATGCAAAATGCTGGCATGATTGGGAATTGATACCTATAAAATGGTATTGGACAGTCCTCATTCCCTTCATGCTTCAGTTTAATTTTTGGTAAACTAATTGTCATCCCTTTGAATTCTCCAGTCAGTATGCGACATTGCAATGCATGTAAGTCATAATCCGTGATGAGTAATCGAGTTCCATTGCAGAGGCCATCTGCCAGACTTGAGTTTCTCAAGACCATGACCGACGAGCCAACTTTGAGATCTAATCTGTGAGGCGGAAATCCGGCGAAATTGAAGGAGTTCAGTACGTCAGAGGTAACAGGGTCTGCGTATTTCTCATCCATGCAATCAATCGAGGTTGATATATGATATTGTCCCGGCAAAGAATCCATTACATCTTTATTAACTTTACGTACTGTTTCATTCAACGGTGTGATAAAACATCTACTCGAATAGAGTTCTGTTAAATGACCCCAATTTTGCTGTTGTACCAAGTTCTTGACGCCTCCATACTCTACTTCCAAAAGCTGTTGGTCATAAACAATCGGAGGACGGACAATAGATACATTACAATACATCAGTGGTGTATCTGATGTATAATCTTCTTGTAGATGTCCAGACCCCAAATCCAAAAGCCACTTGCTGAAGTTCGCGTTGGCCGGGTTTTGGTTTGCTGACAGTCCACCAAGTTGGATATTGACAGTGAGCGCGAATCGATTGATGGAATTCCACAGGTAAGATGCTTTCAATGTTGATTGTGCTAGTTCCATCAAGTTGCCTCTTCTGACAATTGGGAGAGTCTGACGAAAATCTCCTGCGAATAGAACAACTTTTCCTCCAAAAGGCGCATCCAAACCGGTCATTTCTCTAATAGTCCTATCAACACATTCAATAGCGTACTTGTGTTGCATTGCAACTTCATCCCAAACTATGAAGCGAATCAAATCCAAATTTGCTCCAAGTAAATCGTGTGGAGAGAATGAACAGATTGAATCTGAATGAACTGGTATCGGAATTTTGAAAGCGTTGTGTGCAGTTCGGCCATTCAGGAGTAATAATGAAGCAATTCCAGCCGCTGAAACTGCTTCAAATCCAATTTGATTAGCATTACAGTAATGTAAGATGCAATTCAACACATAAGTTTTCCCAGTTCCACCGGGTCCATCTCAGAATGCCAGGTAAGGTGTATTATTGGTAATGGCATCGCAAATTGGATTGACTATTGCCCGTTGCTCATTGGTCATTGCTGTTAACATCGATGTATACTTTCGTTGGCTTTCGGCTGGGTCTACAATCCTGCCGCGGTTTTGTGTAGCTTCATTAGGCAGATTCAATTGTAAGATCAACTGATCATCCACTGGCGGCAATCCAAGGTGTTCTAGAGTTGTGTCCATCGCAATAACTACTTCCTCAAGCAGGAAGAGACCGTAATTGTATATTTGTTCTTGATTCGGATGACACAGTGGATTTAATCTTCGAATGATATATTCACAGTCGTCTGTTAAATTGGCGACATGATCATTCCACAAGTCACTTGGTGAAGCCGGTGCACTGTGAATTAAGATGATTGCCAACATGTGCCAAAGTTGACGTCCCGTTTGCCATATTGCGGCTTCGTTGATTGAATCGTGATAATGCTGATCACTTAGTAGCAGTCCAAGCCGATTTGCAGCTTCACGGAATGTGTTTAAACAAATCCCGTCGACTGTGCGTAAATCTTCAAAAGAGGTAGGTCCACGGACGTTTGACAACAATAACCTCAAGTAATAGATGTTGCCACGCTTGACATTTGCAAAGTATACTCTACTGATAGAGAATGTCTTGTTCTGACATGGTTTAAATCTTTTTGTTGTTTCGTTCCAAGTGAAGAATCTTGGTACTTCTTGGTACTTCAAAGTCCGGATTGATCGCTGTGACTTCGGTAACAAAGTATTCTCAGCGCAAAGCCTGAAATACTCTGTGAGTGTTGTCCTTTCAGCGCGTCCGGATTCAATTGCTCTCCAAAGCCCATTTTGATCCAAAAAGTATATCGTTTGGCTACCATCAAGGTGAAGACTCAGCCGTTGAATCGCCGGCCACCTGCCTGCCAGTTCAAATTTCAACAAACGCCACACAGCTTCAACGATTAGTTAGCAACATATTTAACAAACCTCTGTAAAACTATCAACACCAAAGTAAAAACAAACCTTCTGTTGCCGATAGGAAACGCGCGTTTACATATGCAAGAATTTCATCATCTTTTTCTGGGTCATTTACACTTGCCATGGTTCTGTCGTGACCCTTAAGAATATATTTAAACAGGTATATAGCTCTGATGCTGCCTGCCACTTCTACGTTAATGTGACATTCATATTTTAATGTTAAAAATCTATTGTAAGGGACAACATCCGCATTAGTATATCGCACCGGGCCTTTGTCAAAATGACGACTGTTGTTCGGCCTCTTATAATTTGGATAACTATTTTCAGGCATGTCGGTATTTTCGCTGAAAGGCTTCCGGTAACCCAGTCGACATTTGCTTCCATCTCAGCATTTGTAGTTTTGACACGGTCTGTGGAGCATAGACTTAGTAACAAAATTGAAGAGATGAAGTTCAGTGTCGGGATCAGGTAGTTGAGCAGTTATCATGCAATCAACCTGGGTTGGATTTGTAGGTTTTGAAGCAGCGTCGAGGAACACAATGAGATGCACGTGGGGTAATCCCCTTTTTTGAAATTCAATTGTGTAAACGTAAGCCGTGCAACTACCAAATCTTTCGCGCTTCTTGATGTCGTCTAATAAGGAATGGAATTTTGCATGAAAAACCCGGGCTACCAAATCAGGACAATCCTCTGCTTCCTGACCATCTTCCAGAGCATTTAAAATTTTGGACCACTGAGGATTAGCCGTCATAGTTATGAACAGGCTTGGAGCACCAAATTCAGCCACCAAGGTCATTGCATCTTGATATAGTTGTTGCATGTGTCGAGGTCCACCAATAAAACTCGACGGTAAGACTATTCTGCGACCAACTACTTCGTCTTCTACTTCATCCCCCAATGCCTCTACTGCACCACTGTAAAGCTCTGCGCGGAGTTCTCTTTGGTGAAATCTAAGGTATTGCAAGCGAGAATGCTCAACGCAAACGTACATATCTACGACGAATTCTTGAAAAAGTCTACCACAGGCTAAGATTATAGAGAATGTATTGCGCTTGAATAATCAGTAAGCAAACCATTCTAAGTTCGAAACTTCGCCGTCCGGTCCTGTGATTGATGGACAGTGAAATAGTAATAGTAAGTTGCTGATCAAATTCGTAAATTGTCATAACTTAGCTTACGTGCTTCCGTTGGGTTGGTGAAGTGCTCATGCCATGTTTGGGAACCATATGGAAAGAGCAAGGGATATCTTAATGCGAAGTATCCTGTATGCAGTTCCAATATTCTTTGTAGATCACCAGTCTGTCGCTGAAGTACAATGTTGCGCTTGCGAGCTCCGACATCTCCATCCCCTTCTATTATAGCTGCTACTTCATTCGAAGTGGGACGGTTGTAACGTCGATGATCTCGGCCAGCAGCGTTGATTGTGTTAATTACAAGGGATTGTTGATTGCGGTCATTAGCTATGGCGGCGGCGGACCGGAATACTTGGGCATATGGATTGTGTTCATCCATGAAATGTTGGAATTCTAAAAGTATCTCCTGTTTGAGAACATTGTTAAAGTGTAAATTCCAAGCTTGAGCTTCTGCTCCATCTCCGCCTCCATAAACAAAGATCTGCGCAAATCCTGGATGGTTACCCGGTACGGGCATGAGCGACCCTATGTTGTGTGAGAGTTGACCTGAGATCCTGAAAGTATATCCTCCGCGTTGTCCCTGAACACTTCTATCGATATTTGCTCCTAGTGATGTGAACAACATTGCGTTGTTGTACTTGCGGATTTGTAATCGGAATCTTTTGGAAACTGTTCATACAGTTAGTTCTGAATTTTTATCTAGCAAACAGTTATTTGGCTTACTGTCGTCTTGCTTGGTTAAAAGTTGATGATAAAACTCCGGGACTTCTTCTTCTACATCTTGTGAAAAGTAGCGCATCGGTAGTTCGACAGCTCCGTGCTGACAACAATTCCCGTATGTCGCTGTTAAACGGTTTGCGTCTTTTACAATTCTCTCAACTTTCCATCAAAAGGCACCACACGCTGAACATTGATCATCCGCTGCTCCTAGATTGTGTGGAATCTCATCGCCGAATCGAGTCTTCAGGTTGATTTGACTACCTAAAGCCTCGGTTCTGGCAGCTGGTCCTTTTCGAGCTCGATACGGTGGCATGCTTTAATCAAAACTTCCCGAAATAACCCATGTTAATTGAAATGACTCATGTCAAGCAAAAGGACCTTTACTGATACAATAAGCCAAGCTGAAATAGTGAGTCAAGAAGCTTACTTTATGATCATTGACCGGAATGATGGTTGTTGATGCTGAGTTTCAAAAGCGTTATACTTTCATGCTATTTCAATAAGCCTATTACTTATGATAAAGCTTTTAATTTAAATCATTTGTTACAACATTGCGTATACCACATCTTCAAAGTGAGAACTTTGGCAAGTATGTTGTAGTTTAATGTATATTGTTACATCCATTTTAGGGAATTTGATGATAGTATTATGTTCATATTTCTTGCCTTTTGTAATATTGTCATCGAATTTGATCCAATATCTTGACAGCTAATATCACTATATAGGTAGCATGTGGCATTTGTGCAGCTTGAGCTTCCGAGTTCTTTTCTGCCACAGGATGCATTTAAGACGGGTCTTTCCGCCTGAGTTTCCAATTGCCGTATCACAAACATATTTACTCGAAGGAGTTGACATGATTTTATCAATGTTTTGACGACTCAACTCCTTATATGTTTACCTTACATAGATTGAACTGAATTGCTTTAAGAGCACTCATGATCCATAAAACGATTGATCTATGTAATCATGCATTGCCCAGTTTCCAATCGTACATCTAGGCTATATTTGCGTAGTTATGATGGTCTAGCAATTGTGCTGGTATGGCGGAAACTTTGGACTGCCAGTTTCTTTCTGAATACCTCGGCTGATACATGTCCTCCACAATTCAGTGGGTAATCCAAGGCTCATCATTTGATGATATTTAATGATATGAAGATGGTCGATTTAACAATGTTTAAGAATTCGACTTGGTGGTACCAACCAAATCAAGATGTATGAATACCATAAATTGATATGTAATTTTAAATCCATCCCGGGGTACGGATAATTTCAAATGCAAGTACCGACTCTCACTGTAGCACGCCATTGCACATACACCGTTGTACTGTTCGAACATCCTACATTTACTTGAAATCAAAAGCTCCGACTTCTTGATTTATTTGCTTTGAAATCAGTTGAGCTTTTGTTTATACTTGCAGTTCGTCTACTATAAATTTATGGCATTACAAAAAATAGGACAAAGAACAATTGGCATACGGGTGCCGATACATTACGATCACAATAAACATGTAGTATTTTTCTGCATTTTATAGTAAATGGATTGAAGGAGAAAAACGGGAAACAACAACAAATAATGCTACGAAAAGCAAATTTTTATTCAGATTTGAATCTAGAGTTTTGATCAAACCGAAGTTTCAATTTAGATTGTCCTTGGTAAGTTTGGAGTCTATGAAATTGAAAAGAACTTCATACTCAAGTGATCTTTTTGTGCAAGGTGCGATTCATTACCCAGATGCCGATTGTGAAACACTAAAAGTAAAATGCAATAATATGAGATATTGCGATCACCTTGAAATAAAATCACATCAGAGAACACCTGTTAAGAAGACTTACCCAAATGATTTTTAATTTTGTTTGGAGAGAGTTAAGTCCAAGGTTTTATCTTTTTTAGTGATACGTTTTGGTTGAGTCCGAGCTCTCTTCTTGGGGGCTGCAATGGTTATTTCAGTTGCAGTGTCTTTTTCAGGAGATACACTGGACCCAGATGGGCCAGCTAAGCTGGAAGAAGCGGAGCGGTACGACTCGGGCCCGAAATCAGAAGGTGGAAAAGCTAGAGTGGAGGATGATTCCAAGGCAGTCGATTTGATAGGGGACTTGGCGGCTGACTTAAAGTTCTTTTTGTTAAACCTGTGCCATAGAGCTCATCAGCATGTGAAACGCAAATAACGATTTGAGTACTAACTTCACAGGCTTATTGATTAAGTCGAATGGTTTTACATCTTCCTTTTTCACTTTAACACCATTACCACAGACTTCGTATTCTTTGTTGCCATTGGTAGGAGAGACTTTGCTTGCCTACAAACTCATGAATCATTATTAGCAGGTTACTAAAGTTGTAAGAGCAAAAACACATCGAACTAACAATCACCACGTAACGCAAATTTTGTGGGTCGTAATCTTTAATGAAACCGTGAAATTGAAACTCTCTACCGACTTTGAGGATCTTAGGCGTACCTGCCAAGTTTGGAGTTGGTGGAATTCGATACTCTACTGTAAACTGAGCGGCTACTTTAGTCTAAAATTCAAAATTGAGTTAGTATTAAATAAATTATTAAATAAATTATATTTTAATTGAAGAACTAACAGTGGGATGAAAGTCGGAATGCAGGACGGTGACAATAGTGGTTGGTTTGTTTTCATCCTTTGGGTTCTTCAACAAACCACCACGGGCCGGTTCAACAATGCTGGTGATGTTACACACAATTCCAACTCCAGTGACACCAATTGCATCAACTAAATCGCCAACAAAAGCATTAGCAGAGTTAAGAAGGACACGGTCGGAAGCTTCAAAGAAGATTATGTTGTCCTTTGCTTCTTCGGTAGTTGGAAAGAAGCTGCCTCTCAAAAAGTAGATGTGTCCGGCTTCCAGCATAAAATCAGCTTGACTGAAACCGCGGGCGACAACTTTGTACCGCAATCGTTCTTCTTGAGCACCACCACTACAACCAATGAAAGTAGTATAGGTTCTATACTCCTTGCGCCAACCATTTCCACCCGAAGTATGACATATGATAAACAAAATTAGATAGTGTAAATGGAGGCGGAGTTATCAACGTACTTTGGCTTCAATGAGGAAAGGCCCAGACAAATAAAGACCATGTGTCGTTGACTCCGATGGGTCTGCCATGACTACGTGAATCTATCTGGAATTTTCAAAATGTATCAACCGAGTTAGTGATGCAGAGTGTAACAACAATATGAATAATGTAGGAACAAACTATTAAAACCTACTATTTCGAATAGATCAAATAGAATAAATAATGCACAGACCAATACAATCAAATCTTTTGAGGCGCTGCTCTAGTGGTCAAAGAGCAAAGAACGGAGTTGAAGTGATGGATAGTTCTGTTTGACAGCGTTTGCGACAAACTTCGGTACTCTAATCTGGGCCTATGTCAGATCAAAAGCTGATGATATATAAATACCAAAACCCATGCTACTGGTCAGCTTGCCATTTGGTGATGATGACGACATATTGAGACACAAATCCCGATCACCTCAGAATTCCTATATATATCGAATGTAGATAGTAATGATCGTTTGTTTATTGTAGCTACCATGCATAGTGGAAGATTCAGTAGATCGGACGCTCAGGCAGATGGGGATTACCATTGGGATATTGATAGCACTTGATGGTTCTTTATTGCAGTAGTCTTAACAATCCAATAGCCAAGCGATACAATTCTCGTTCTTGGGAATCAAGTGACGTTCTGGTGACTTTCAGATTTTGTATATCCATAACGTACATCACCTTTAATTTCCTGATAATATTTCAAAGATGATTTTCTATTGACTCAAAATACTACGACTGAGAGCCTTAGCGCTTGATGATTAGTTATCTACAACTTAATCAGTTGATTACGTTTGGTAAACTACAACGTCAATGTTCGACGTACAGGGCCCAAGATTTTAATCGCCTGTAGAAAGCATGATTTCCTTCCCGGCTTCGAAGAAAGAGAGAAAGGTTGGTGAATCTACTTGATTTAGCTGGTGGTGCGAGTTCTTTGGTCATGTCTTGTTGTAACTTTGTATACCAATATTAATTGAGACCATCAGTGGTCGACTAAATCATTGTTCGGAGTCCCTGAATACACGTCAAATTGGATTGCTTTAGTTTCATAATTTAATCTTTTAATTTGGACATTCCAGTTGTGATACGTGAATGCCATAAGGGAATGTAAATTGGTATTTTGTAAATTTGTATTTGTATTATACCTACAGATAAAATGACTATTTGTTTCCAAATATAAATAGCGCTGGTCTCTGTGTTTAGTCGATATATACTTCAAATAAGTGTATTGCTACGTTGAGATCGGGTATTCTTAGACTTGTCTGCTGTGCCAACACGTGCCACGAGCAAAAATCGAAAAACCCGGTTAAGGCAGTTGATGCTTGCCCATTAATTGGATCGTCTTGTCAGTTTAAATAAAGGATGTCCGCAGAGTAATCCAGCTGAAGTTAAATTACGAACCATGGGTTAAAGTATTCATTGCAAGTTGATAATGCTTGGTTTGAACCGAGGCGCTTACCGTGCTTGCCCCATCAGAATTTGGCGCTGTGCAGCACATGGTTTGATACCTGTCAAGTGTTATTTAATGACATCCCCCCTGACTCTAACATCCAACCCTAACGACTAACCCTTAACTTAACAATTGTTCAAAGTTTCTAACCAATTGTATGGTTGGAAGTTGAAGCGGTAGTAGTTAATCCCTTCTTACATAGGTTCATGATTGAGTAATTGTATTGAGGGACATGGTCTTTGCATGCTACAATTGCAAGTATATATGATAATTACAGACATCTTTGGTTATGTTGAAATTGCATTAGGAATTGTGCCAACTCACAAGATTGATGTTGTACTGACAATGTCACAGCTGGACTCTGCATTTTTACTGAATCATCAAAGCAGCAAATTATACCCTGCAATACAACAACAAAAATTATGGGAACATCTAAGTACCGGTGGCAACAACGGCTGATACCAAATTTTGTTGCGTTGCTATAGATCTGTTGAAGTAGAAGAACATTCTTCTGAGTTGATGGACCAAATGCAGATACTTGGACACCAGAAACACTGTTGTAAGTTAGTTTTTGTAATTAGATAAGGTGAATAGGAGAGCGGACATATTGTGATGTTGGATTAAAATGGTCGACGTGATAATTGAAAAGGAGCATATAGAAAGACAGTTCAATACATTTGCTAACTAAATATGTCAAACGTAGCAAGTACATAGTTGGTATGACAGTGGTACAACCATTTGACTGTGATTTCATGCAGAGGGACATGATTCAATATGTTATGGGAGTGCTGCCATTGGCAGAATCACAAAATGTACGTGCATTATACCGCGCCTTTGACTCTCAATCGAAATCCAAATTTGTTGATCACTACTAAGAGTAATTGGAATCTGAGTGAAGGTCATGCTGTGGGTTGCACAGTAATGATTTTCCGGCCGTAATGGTAGCAAAAATGTAGTCAACGCGGCTCCTAAGTTTGGCATTAACTGTGAATAAAACCGATTGACATCTTTGGGTGATTTAAGGTATGTAGAGGATCTAATTTCAGTAAGTGGATTCAAACCATTACGTTTGTAACAAAGAGAGGAACTTACTGAAGTTCATGACGACTGTCTCCATCAAGGTCTGATAGATAAGTGACTCCTCAACTTCCGTCAATCTGTTGGGGTGTCAAACACCTGGGTTAGTTCATTCCAGCAGGTTAAATTCACGCAACATCTCAAATTTACGTTTGTATGGAGGTGGCGTTCGGGACGGCGTTGAAGATCAATAGCTCGGTTAGGATCCTGGGGATGGAGTGGCAAACGTCCCCTCTGAGTCCGCGATCAATGGTTGCCGTGCTGAGTATAATTACTTTAAAGTGAGGTGAATCTCTTGTAGGGAATTCGATTATGTAGCTCTTAGGATGTTGAATGGAAGATATGTATTTGATAATTGATCTATACACTGTTGCTATCATCGGTATAGAGAAGTGAAGGGAATTGTATGTCATACTGGTTGACGAATGCTTCTGCTCGCAATGCGATTAGTTTTTGATGTTGACGAAATGGTGCTGGACACGTTGTGACAGTTTTAGGGAATTTATTATAGCTGAAAAAACTGCTATTTGATGGTTTGGGCTCGCTACTTATGGGAAGTTGTCGGGTCTGTGGCATATGATGCATTCAAATCTATAGTAATTACTCAATGTCAGTATCACTTCATATACAAATGACCAAGAAAGCCTCTCGGCTGAAAGTGGTCTAGCAGGTGCAAGCTTCAACTTTCCTGTCTGTCAACTTTCAGGTTATCTCCTACTTATAATTAACGGATATTGGGGTCCGTATTGAGATAACTCATGAAGGCCTTTGTTTGTTTATGTGAATTCGGGTTGCATAAAGTTTAGTGCATAAGTGTATGACGCCTTTGGTGGTCTCTGCCACTATTAAAAAGCATCCCCGTTTGCGGTGCTTATAGCGCGTTGGGGATGACAGTATTTTTGCTTTAACAGTATCTGCAACGCGAGAACAAACATGTAACATATTATTTTATTATGCATGTGGATATACGCTATGATTCATTGTGCAGTAAGTTTCAAAGTGAATATTGAGGCGTCATATATGACAACAATTTGAGTATTGTTTGCATCATATATATTGGATGATGTGGGACGAGTTGGTGGGTAACATCAATATAGAAAGAAACGTACAATTTATATGTTTACAAAGTCTATAAGGAAGATAGCTAAATATTCTGACCACATTTTGATTTGACATAATGAGTTGACTGGGTAGTTGGTTTTTTTTATAGTATTGATACTATTGATCGCTCAAGATTGTATTGTGTTGCTTACATAGAATTTGGGCGAGGACGCTTGTTAGATGTTGAGGTGAAGATTTGGTTGGCAACCATCAACTTATTGTGTTGAGTTCCCATTACTCGCGCGCATGGATTAGATGCAGATGGAGATGTCAATTTTGTGTTTGAAGTACAACTGTTGGATTGGGAGCTGTGTTGCCAATCCATCAGAGATAATGAGATAGACCGTAAGTTAAATTGAGCATTGTAGTGCAGACACAGTTCTAAACGCACAGTGTTACCATGTTATTGCTACCCTCCACGTCTTCACAGTTTTGAGTTGTAGGAGTACAACTTGGTGATGTAGCCGTGTTGGTCAAAGGCGGAGTCATTGCATAAATTCTGTTGGCCTGCCAGGACATTGCTCAATAAGTTTGTCAATAAATATGATGTACAGATAGAAGAAAATTATTTACAACGATGATATAAGCATTAGTATGCTCGTTGAAATCCTTAATGAATCCATGCAATTGGTATTGGCGCCCAAGCACAATTTCCTGTGATAATCCAATGAGCTTCACAGATGGCCTGATCCAGTACTCGACTTTGGACTCTACTGAAGTTTTGAGCTATTGGATTGAATGTTAGTAATAGTTAGAGAGTAGGAGAGCAATTTAGGATTTGACCTACGATTGGGTGATAATCACGGTGTAAAACTGTTACAACTTTAGTGACATCGTCTGTGGGGTAGGGGGTCTCGTCTAGATTTTGGGGAGAAGATTCTCGAATACTATCAATTCGGCAAACAATGCCAGTGCTCGTAACAGCGACTGAATCAATGAAGTTGCCCATGTAAGATAGGGCGGTACCCACGAAAGGGTGATCCTGGCCTTCGAATATAAGTGAATCAAAGGTAGTGTCGGCCAAATTCTTGGGAAAAAAGGGCCCCCGTAAGAAGTACACGCCTTTGACGTAAACAGGGTCATCGGCAGGGCCCAAGCTATACGCTTGGATGTGGTGAAGTCCAGTATTATCACGGTGTACCCCGCTACAGCCGATCGAGAGAGTATAGATACCTCCGGTTTCAGAACTCTTGGTTGGCGGTATCTATTAAAAGAAGATGACCATGTGATTATCCATGAGATTTTGGGCTTATAAAATTGGGTGATGACCTTACTTTGTCGTGGATCTCGAAGTTACCAGATAAGTAGATGCCGTGATTGTTTGCAGGAGGGACTGGATCCATTGTAGAAAGGATATATTAGGAAGGATGTGTAGGCCGTGGAAGAATTGACAAAATTGGATACAAAAGTTAGCTACTGGATCAAGAGGTGCTCGGAACGGGAATTTTGGTAGAATCACGGTAGGTACTATCTTTAATAAGTAAATGGATTGAGAGAGTATGTCAGCCGTGGCAGAGAAATTGACTTCAAGGTAAAAGGGTACGTACTATGGACAGATAGCAAAATGCTAAATCATTGTCGAGAGCATCACATCGCCTGTTTTGCCAACCGACCGATCTTCGCGTTGGTCATGATAAGGAAACACACAGCAATGAGCTGATAGGTAACCGAACCCCCAGTTAAGCGGTAGTCAAAATTTGAGAATGTGGATGCGAGAGGTAAACAAAAAGAAAGGTTAGACAAAGCAAAGAAGGAGTATATGAGGGTAATCAGCATTCGAGGGTGACGAATAATTGGATTCGAGAGGCGGGGTAAGAGAAAAGCTAAACAGAGGGAAGTATGAATGTTCGAGGATGAGAATTGTGTAGGAAAGTAAGGGTCATGCAAAAATGACGCTTTGAAGTCAGAAACACCTGCTGCTCAAAACTATGAAATTTTTAAGCAGGCAAAGAGTTTTATCCGGTTTTGTTCAAATTGCTAGTTGTCCTTTAATGTTTATGATCATTTTTCACCTTGGAGAAATACATTATCTTTGCAGTGTAAATGTGTTGTATCTTTTCCAAATAGACTTGTACGCCTCCGTGAGATTGCCAGTGATTCCACTACAAAGAACATCCACAACTTATCAGCATGAAGTGACATGGAAATTGACCCAATATCCGATACGTCCCCCACTCTGGGGTTACGACAGCCTGATATTTGAGACTGTGCACACGCTTGTGCCCGTTATAAAAAGCACACTGATTGTATTTTGGTCGTGCGATGCGCCACACAGTACCTATTGCAAGGTCCGCAGAAGATGAGGATGGAGACCCAAGCAAATGAACATGGTAAGGATCTTACCGTTGATAAATCCTACACAATTGTCCATAGGACAGTCCTTGCCCTCTACCAAGCTCACTGCAAAACCTTCCGACACCTCAGGTGGATATTGACGGGCGTCCCATTCCAAAAGGGATCCCCAATGTTCATAAATCCACACTTCGACCCACCGACAGATTCGCCCAATTGTGGACAGGTCGCGACCAAATACTTGGGATAAGTCAAAATAGCAAGACGGTGTTGCTAACCTGCCCATATAAATGGCAAGCGTGGTGGTGCCGACTTCTGTTGCTAGGTTCGAAAGCAGAGTTGAATCAGGGAAGCCGCCCCAGTGGTGAATCGCGAGGAGCTTGTCAGGATAAAACCGAGTGGTGAGTTTACAGATATGAGGGTGCCACGTCACGACATTGACACAACAACTAGACAAATCAGGAAGAGGATCACCACCAAGGCGTTCGATTGTGTGTAAGTATTGCATGATTTCCTGCATTTCCTCAACCTGATAGAGCTGCCACCAGGCAACCATGAGCATTGAGTGTCGCAACACCGGGGACCTGGCCAAAGGTAACCTGTTGGGCTGAAAAAGTATACTGTTTGTTTGCATGTAGTCGGTTGTTGAGATGGTGGGGGGAGAAGGGGGGTGGGAGGCTTTGGTGAGAGTGTAACACTACAAGAAAGATAATATTTTCTGGGCAGAAAATTAAATTATTGATACACAAAAATATTGAGAGGCCAGGAGGAGAGCAAAAAATGGATAAAAATATGTGTCTTGTTCCCTGCGTTGAGAACTTCACTCTGCATATTTTTCCGTATTTTTACAGTCCATATTGATAAGTGTACTAACAATAAACCTTCACAGTCATCCAATTACAACCTGTAACAAGCACTGAAATTTGGCTCATTAGTGTTTAGAGAAACTTTTGATTTCTGGAAATACTCATAACTTTTTCAATTCCGGTCCAAAACGCTCGATTTTGGGTGCATTGGTAAGCTGGAATTGTCCTCCAAATAGTTCATAATAGGACTACACAGCATGCTGGTCTGCTAAAGAAGATATCATCTTTTTTATACATTTGTACATACAGATCCATAGAATGATTTTCATACTAGCTACATAGTTCTTAATCTTATGAAAGTTCGAGAGGAAGAGTTCAGCTTTCTAATGCACTTAAAATTGAGTGTTTTGAGGCAGATTTGACAAAGTTATAAGTGTTTTCAGAAACCAAAAGTTTCTCTAAACACTAATGAGCCAAATGTCAGTGCTTGTTACAGGTTGTAATTGGATGATTATGAAGGTTTATTGTTAGTACACTTATCAATACGGACTGTAAAAATATGGAAAAATATGGAGAGTGAAGCTCTCACCACAGGGAACAAGACACATGTTTTTATTTATTTTTTGCCCTTCTCCTGGCCTCTCAATATTTTTGTGTATCAATAATTTAATTTTCTGCCCAGAAAATATTATATTTAGTGTAGTGTAAGTAGTAGGAGGGAACCAGTTGAGTGTCCAAAGGACCACCCCAGGGCCGAATTTCACACTTGGAGACATCTTGAGCGTGTATGCAATTAGCAAGGTGAGGAAGTGACAGGCTTGTGGATGTCATTCACACTCTATTGGAACCTTCCTGCTTATTCCCAATGCAAAAAGCACTCTAGCGTACATCAAGTGGTAGTAACGGGCGAAATCTGCGCCTCGTCCCTATTATCCCACCTTTTTCTCTAGTGGCTTACTAGCCTAAAAGACACTAGTAGCTCACATCTGGGCCGAGGACCACAGGGAGATTTTCAATACAAAAAAAGATGTTCTGGGTTCATTCCATCCAGAAAGACCACAAATACCAACACGTTCTCACCGGCATCTTTGCAGACAGGAACAACACCAATCCTGAAAACAGGGCTGAGTGGCTTGGCATAACTATAAACACGAAACTAACTTTCAGTAAACACAGAACGGGAGTCATCAAACAAGGCAAGGAACAAGCAGGTTTCTTGGCATCCCTCTCCAAGGTGGAATGGGGTATCAATCCTAAGTTGATGAACATACTTACAACTACAACAGTTCATACAGCGATTGATTATGGTGTGGCAGTGTGGCTTCCTCTTGAGTGTCCAAACTACTTCATCAATGACCTTAACACAATTGACAACACAAGTTCACAAACAGCACTAGGAGCTCTATCAACCACACCAGGAATCTAATAACAAGACATGAACAACACCCCATCAAAAATTAGGCTTCAGAGTAAAATCATGAGCTTTATTGCACCCTCACTTACTAAACCATCCCACTCCCCCATCTATCATCCTGTGAAACAAGCGCAGAAATCAAACCCCAAAAGCCACCACAACCTGTACCATCAAATGTATCAACATGTAATCAGCAAAGACCTAGAATATTGTACATTTTCAGCAAATAACACTTGATGTCAGCGCTGAGTACTAAACCAGAGTACCAATGGGCAACGTATTATCATAAAAACCTTGAAAATAGTTATTACAACTCAAGGCTCAGTTTTGAGCGCCAAGTTACATATGAATTAGCATATGTAACATGTGCAGAGCTTACATCAAAGATAGTGAACATACGCAACTTTGATGCAAACCAAATCTATGTATATTTCAAGGCTGTAACACATACATGATAAATGAAATATACTTAGAACCCAATAGTAACTGTGTTACTGTAATTAACCTAATCATAGAACCACAATTTGTCCGTGATAACGTAGCTCTTCCCGGTACGTTACTTCCTGGGAAAATTTTGCGTTAGCACATAAAGCTACTCTACGCGTAACATACCATTTAGCGTAGAGCACTGCCAGCATAGATGCCTTGGGTTGAGAAATCCGAAAACCTTGTCCAAGGTTTTTGCCCTGAGAATTACCTCAGATCAAAACCTCGGGAAGCTTCTGTCCGAGGTTTTGCATCTGAGGATACCTTGGATTTTGTAATCCGAGGTGAATATGTTGGTGGTGGAGTTGCGCTTCTGTCACAGCATTGATTTATCTGATTGATGAAGGTATTGATAATTTGCTTAAATGTAATGATGATGATGGATTTTCCTGGCGGTTCAGAGAGCTCTTTATATACTCAAAACCCTGAAAATCCTTTATGTACAACTTGTGGTTTGATTGCATACTCATTTGACGTATGTAATCATGAATTTTAATTATTTATTTATTATCTGATTACGCACATGTGTAACTCTTGTGTTACTCATGTGATGCGCACCTGTGAAAGGCATTCTTACTTAATGCAGCCTCTTGGTTACATTTACATGTATGTACATATGTAATTTGATATGTAACTATATGTAATTACATATGTACTTGGTTCTTGAAACTGAGCCATGAGTTGTAATTTTTCCTTTTGGTATTTTCTAGTTATTGAGGCAGCCCTTTGGTACTAGTAATTGGGCTCAGGGCTGACAACCTCCATCTCGCTCACTTAGGCAATACTCCAGAATCTTCACTCACACATTTCAAAACTGGGCTTTCAATTCTAAAGGAGGAATTGTAGGGAATTCAGCAAAGTAAACGATAAGCGGAACGGTGATGTACCACAAAGTCCGAGAGGAATCACGTACAAGAGTGGACATAAGTCTGTGTAAGTCCAAAATGAAACTTTAGAGTGCAGTTGATAATGGAGGGTTAGAATAACTCGTGTGGTCACCTCAATTCAAAAAAGAAAGAAAGGTTTGTGATGGGTTTCAATTCAATAAAAATATGCATTGAATAAGAAATCAACATCGCAATGTGCCACTACCATTTAGGACCATTTGAATCCTGTTGTATTTCAACTAACCCCCAAATCTTCTGTAAAATGATCAATACACCCTTCTGCTATCAACTTGTTTTGTAGGTCACCAGTCTTTGAAATACAATACATACTGAAAGATAAGATAACGTCATTAAAATAAAATTCAATTGCATTTCCAAATCAATGAATGACTTGAGCAGGTCTTCTTATAAGTTTCAAAGGTGCATGAAATGATCTTGTTGCTTGATCTGTTGAGATT